AGTGAACACTGGACCCTTCAGTCCAAGGGCCAACGCTCTAACCACGAGCCAAATTGGCTAGGGCCATTTTCCTTTTTTTAACTTTGACAATATTATTTTACAACAATGTTTTCCTTTTAAAAGAGCAAGAATTCCTGATATTGAAGTTGAAAATTCCATAAATACATAAGATCCACTTATTGGCCTCCTATGAAAATAAAACAGAAAAATGTTGGGGTGGTGGTGGAGGAAAATGCAGCTATTATTCGTTTCTCCAGAGAAAATCTCAGGAGGGAATGTTTAGATAACAGTAGGGGGGATTTATGTGGGGCATACAGGAAGGCTCTGTCCAGGCTATATGAAGCTTCTCTTCTTGGGACACAGATGGCTAGAGCAGGGTCCACACTGAGCAATGAACAGAGTAGTCTTTGCAGTGACCCCACCCACCCTCTGCCTGTGGAGATTCAGGGGGCCCTCCATGGGGGTGGAGTCGGTATCAGAACAGCCCAGCCCTGCATTTCAGAGAGCCTGAATCAGGCTTTTACCCCAAGTAATGGCCATGTTTAGAGCAAGATGGCATGTCCTGACTCACAGTAGGTCCTCAAATTGCATTTCCTATTAAGGCCTATGTTCTCTCTTTAATATTTTAACTGTTTTAAATGTAGATACCACTGGGGAGTGGAAGTGGGGGTGGGGCAGAGGACTATTATTTTTCATTAAAAATTTAAGCTTTGTACATGTGCAGCTTTGAGAAAAATATTTTTAAAATCCCTGCTGCTGCCCAGCCGGGCGTGGCTCAGCGGTTGAGCATCGACCTAGGATCCAGGTGATCAGGGTTTGATTCCCGATCAGGGCACATGCCCGGGTTGTGGGCTCGATCCCCAGTCGGGGGCGTGCAGGAGGCAGCCGATCAATGACTCTCTCATCATTGATGTTTCTAGCTCTCTCTCTGCCTCTCCTTTCCTCTCTCTGAAATCAATAAAGATACACTTAAAAATAAATAAATAAAATTTTTATTTAATAATAAATAAAAGTACTGCTTACTTCTTGTTATACAAGTATAATGGTAGCCTCCTCTTATCCTAAGGGGATGCATTCTAAGACCCCCAGTGGGTGCCTGAAGCCCTGGATCGTACCAAACTCTATATATACTATGTTGTTATTTTCCCCCCTAAACATATATACTTTTTCACTTAAAGGAACCATTTTATGACTTCTTTTTGGTATATCTGAATGACTAGCACCATTACTCTTGCACTTTGGGGCCATTGTTAAGTAAAATAAGGGTTACTTAAACACAATCACTGCAATACCAAGATCTGATAACTGAAACTAATGGGCAGGTAGCATCTGCAGCATGGATATGCTGGACAAAGGGATGATTCACGCTCTGGATGGGATGGACTGGGATGGTGAGAGATTCCATCATGTTACTCAGCACAATTTAAAACTTATGAATTGTGGGGTAGAAGGGGTCAATGGGGAGAAAAGGGGACATCTGTAATATTTTGAACAATAAAAAAAATAAAATTAAAAAGATAAAAATAAAAAAAACCCTTACAAATTGTTTATTTCTAGAATTTTCTATTTAATATTTTTGGGCCATGGTTGACTGCAGGTAACTGAAACCGTGGATAAAAAATCATAGATAAGTGGGACTGCTGTAATACATACTCATTAGGCAAAATCTAGAAAATTCAGAGAGCTTTTCTCAAGATGCACCGTCCAGAAATATTTACTATTGACCTTTGTTCTAGATGCGTCCATATTTTTCTCATCATATACAGAGATATATTTTTTGAACAAAAATGGATCATGTAATAACATTTTGTTTTTGCCACTTAATATACGTTTAGGACAAACTCCTAAGTCAAAGGGTATGCATTTGGTACTATATGGCTTAGGACCCTTTGTTTCCAAGTGACAGAGTTTCAGTGTTAAGCACCTTTAGGTAAAAAGGGAAACAGGATGTAGAAACTGGGCCTTGGAAATAAGTGGATTTCAGTACTTAATGCCTCCAGGACTTTGTACCTCTTCCCTCTTTGGTTTATTTTTATGTAGTTGGTTCATTCTTCTCTCGTGAACACTGGTGGGAAACTCTAGGGCTAGCTGTGGTGCTTCACAATGTTCCGTTTTGGCTCTCCAAGGAAATAAATCCCTGATTCCTGGAGACTACAGGTCCCAAGTTCCACCAAAGGTTCACTAGGGTTGCTTAGATCCTCTAGCGGTGTGTGGTCATGGAAGATTATTCTAAAAACCTGGTGAATGGAGTAGAGGAAAAATTTTAATTGGAGAAAGGGTTTTAAAAAGAAAATTTGGCCAAGGAAGAGGGAGCTGTTAACAGAGGAAGGGAAGATTTGGGGTAGAGAAAATAAGAGTATCCTCAATGATATATGTTGATAAATTATACTCTAGAGGGTATAGAATAATATTCACTCCCTGAGAAGTGCATGAGTTGCCTGTTTTCCAAGTCTTGCCAGCACTGGAATTATAATCAAAAATAAAATCTTTGGTTAAATTGTCTAATGGGATTTCCTTGTTTTTTTCTGAATTCCTGCAAGATAGCCCAGCACTTAATTTTCCATTAACTCCTTCCGGGAAAACCCCTTCAACACTTTCGTGTTATCATTTTCTCCCTCTTAGAGATAATGTTCCCTGATGTGGGGGTGGGATCTATTTAGAAGGTGACCCACAGTTGTCGATTTTGACCGCTGTGACATCATGTGCTGCCTCTTCCTGGCACAGGAATGATGATGATACAGGAACACACACGAGGGGACACAGCAGCAATAGCAAAACCACGTGCTCCGCTGGGTGGCCTAACCTAGATTTCTGCCCCGAAAAGGGACTGTGGCAGGATGAGCAAGAGCAGTCTTTGATTGAACTTGACTCCTTACTAAAATGCAGACTTTAGTCTTGCGGGACTTTTGGATGAAGATATCATGACCACTCAGACTTACCAGAAAACATACGTTTTCATAAGGGTTCTGCCTTTCTTTTTAGTGGCTGGTGGGAGCAGGGGTACATCTACTTCTCTTCTGGTTGTGGACAAAAAAGGGGCCACATACTGAACCTGACAAGCTCAGGGGAGACCTGTATGATGGCATTACAAACTCAGCCACCACAAGTAACCACACAGGATGGTCTGAACTTAAAACTTCCTAGGTAAAAGCGAGTCATAGCGGGTAGTCATGCCCTAGTTTGGCATCTTTCTTGACCAAGGTTAATCTTTACCTTAACTGAGCCTGTCTATTGCCTTTTTGCATTTAGGATAACATACTTTTGGAATGTCAGGGTAATTTCCTTTTTTCCCCCGCTGGACCTCTTAATCAGAGCACAACCACCACACCAGAGCGGAGATCACAAATCCCCTCATCGTTATTGTTATCATGTTAATTGTTGACTGTTAACTATCCTATGTCCACCTATGTAAAAGAAGTATGTGTCCACTTGTTTTACTTTTTTTCCAATCCTAGGTATTTCCCTGCTTTGCTTTTTCCCTCCTCCCTCATTTATCACCAGTGGATTTCGAGTAACCCTCTTACACCTCCTGCTTTGATTGTAATGTATAAAATAAGGTGCGACACTGCCATTCTTTGGAGCATTTTCTCAATCTGTTGAGATTTTGCTTCCTGACAATGGTCTTCGGTTTGGCTCAAATCAACTCATAAAAATTTTCTACAGGTTTGGACATTTCTTACGATCACATGAGTTTATGAAAATCAGACAGAAACCTGAATGTGAGGGACCAGTACGGTGTGTCAAACTTGAATGTAGGCTGTGGCTAGAACTGCTTCCATCCTGTGGTCCTCAAAGATCACTTATTAAATAAGGTCAAAGGCAAGAGTGTGGGGATTTGGAAGGTAATGTTTACTCAAGTCCTAGGATCTGCCGCAGATATGGAGTTGCTTCCAAAATCACTCAGGTAGGTGGGAGTGGCTGGTGTATTTTAAGTGGAGCTGTGTGTGGGCTGCCTTTTTTCTAACAGAGAGGAAGACACTATTTAATCTTAGACTTCCATGGCCTGACCTGTTTCATTGGGTACTTTAGCCATAAAATCCCAAATGTGAAAGTGACCTTTGCTCTTGTCTCCTACTGTGTGCACCTGCCACTGTTCATCTTATCTTTACCTGCATGACGTCTGCTCTCCTGGATGGAAAATGTCCCTCCTTGTAAAGTATGTCTTGTCTTTGACCACTGTCGATGTAAGAAATGTCCAAACCTGTAAGGATTTTTATGAGTTTATTTGAGCCAACCTGACGACAATTGCCAAAAAGCAAAACCTAAACAGACTGAGAAAATGCTCTGGAAAATGGCAGTTGTACCACTTATTTTATACATCAGAATCAAAGGGGATAGATGTAAGGGGGTTACATTGGTGGGTACAGGATAGTCACCAATTAACGTTTACAGCACCTAGAGATGGTATGGAGGAAACAAGGTAACAATGAGGGGTTCTGTGGTCTCCTGCTCTGGTGTGGAGGTTGTGCCCTGAGGGGTCTGGAGAAGGAGATTGACATTCCAAAGGTGTGTTATCAAGTATGCTACCTTAGATGCAAAAAGACAACAGACAGGCTCAGTAAAGGTAAAGATTGACCTTTGCTAGGGAAAAATACTGGCCTAGGACAAGACTACCCATCATAAGCTGCTTTTAGTTAGAAAGCTTCAATTTCAGACCATCCTGTGTAATTACTTTAGGTCTCTGAGTTGTAAGGTCACCATGTAGTCCTCTCTTGAGCTTGTCAGGTTTAGTATGTGGCCCCTTTTTTTGTCCACACCATCATAATTGCTTTCATGTCGCTTAACCTTCTGTTCTCCCAGGTGTCTGCCTGGGAGCTCCATTCCTGTGCTTCAGGACCCCCTGCCTCTACCCCCAGAGGTGAATGCCTAGCTCTCAGGGAAGCTTCCTCACACTGTGGAGCAGGGGAGGCAGAGAGAAGCTGGCAGCACCCTGCCCCTGACCGCTGGTTTACACAGTGTGTTGCATTTAAAGAAATAAACCAAAGTACTCGATCCCATAGTTTGTGTTTAGAATAACAATATAGAGAAGGTGATCATTTATTAAATAAGGTTTTATTGAACACCAATTTAGTTTTTAAAACATCTCAGGTACATTTTCAAAGATAAAAAGTCTCACAAACGTATTATGCACCCAGCCCTCATTTTAGACCTTTACATATATTTTCATTTCATTCTCATGAAAATCCTATGAGGTAGATACTATTATTAACATCTTCATTCTACATATGAGGAAACTCAGACCCAAAGAGGTCAAGCAACTTGCCCAAATGGCACAGCTGGTGGGGACCTGCGGGGCTGGGATTTGATCCCAGGCAGTCTGGCTCCAGGGCCCATGTCTTAACTCCACACCTTTGGATTACACTCTGTGGCCTTCGCATACTCAGGAGGACACATGATTACAGACTAGCATTTCAGCAGTGCTCACAAATGAAAGCTTTCTTGGCAGGATATTCCTTTAAGATAATACTAGCAGTCTCATGTATGAAGCATATTTTTAGTAAAACTTATTACATACCAGTAACACATACAAGGATGAATGCATGATGCATTATAGTAGGATTAATAGTTAGAGTATAAAAATACCCTGTAATGAGGTTTTGGGTACACAACTGTGTCATTGAGCTATTGGCATGTACAAAAGCAAAACAGCAACAGCTATCATTTCTTGAGGGCTTATATTTAGCTACTTATAAGCATTATCTTTTTACGTTCTTAAAACAATTTTAAGTATCATTGTTCTCATTTTACAGATGAGGAAACTGAAGTTTATACAATGTAGACTGAGTCTTGGAGCTAATAAATGAGAAGGGCATGCCAGGTCTCCCTGACTTGAAGGCATGTGCTAATGAGCACCACACCCTCTGTGTGGAGACTTGGTGGGCTCTAGGCATCATGAGAGCACATTTATGTGAGATTCCAGCATGTAACACATTTGCCTCTGGAATTAAACAAGTGTTACTGAGCACTAGCTAAGTTTGGGGCATACTCCTAGATCCACTGTCAAAGATGCAAATTTTGAAAGAGAAATTGGAAGACCAGGTCAGGATTCCCCCTTCATAGTAGGTAGCAATTAGTGAGAGCTTTTTAACTCCTTTACATGTATTCTCTTTTCATTCCACACAAAATCCTATGTGGTAGGTGCTATGATTATTATCACCATTGTATAGGTCAGGAAACTGAGCCATGTATATTGCTTAGTGAATAGGTATCTTGGGCTGAAAGGATCAATAAAACTTGACAGTACACCATGTGCCAGGCATATTTGATGTGCTGTGTAAGAAGTAGCCATGCTCTGACTTGCAGTTCCATTGAATTATGCCGTATTCAGACATCCAATTTCTTTACTTAGACTGTTAGCCCCTTGTGGGCAGAAGTCCTGTCTTTGAGGTCTCATGCTCTTACCCTGGCTGGCCCAGAGCTAGCAGAAATTCCATCCTCAAAATCTTTACTGCCTGTGTGTGTCAGGAGCATGTGAGTGGGTCTAGTTGTGGGTGTAAAGCCACGGAGCTCTGTGTGTTGAATGTGATACCCTTGCTCACTATTGAACCCAGGGCTCTTCTTTTCTCCCTTCCTGGGAGCATAAGAGTATACGATTATATCAGTCATTTTCTTAAGGGAAGTGTTAGTATGTCATTTCAGCCACAGGCGGATCTCTTCTGTTTCTCCAAGGGTTGGGCATGGCCAGCCCTGCTGTAGCTGGTTGAAGGGGACCAAACCTCTCAGGAAGACGGACTTGGTTCCGTTTGACCAGCCAGAGCAGGAGGCAGCTCCACTGGGAGTGACTGCAGGCAGCCTCTGGTGTGAGAATCCCTTGGTATATCCCAAGCATTCCCGGTCCAAGCCTGCAACAGAGAGAACCAGCATTAACATGAATCAGATCCCAGTAGCTTGCCTTGCCCAGAGCATCCTCGCACAGGATTTGTGGAAACCATACATAATTTTTATTTTGAATTGCACGACTTTGCTTGATTTTCTTTCTTTTATTCTTACTCTTTTTTTCTTTTTTTTAAATATAAACACTGTGAAAAACTAAAAAGATATAGAAAATTGTAGAATGTGGAAAATGAAAGTCTCTCATAATTCTCCTTCCAAAATAAATTTAACATTTTGGTTTATATTTGAATATCTTACATTCTAATTTTAAAAATAAATTAAAAATTATAATTTTTATTCAAATAAATGCATATATAGAAAAATATATGTAATACATATGTAAGTTGTGGCAATAATGCTAAAACCAACACCAACAAACAACCATCTGCTTAGAGAGAGAACTTGACCAATACCAGGGGGCTTCCTGAATGCTTTTCCCAATTCAGTCCTTTACTTTTCCTCAGAGGTAACTATTATTCTGAGTTTCTTTTTAAAATATAATTTAAATCATCTTTTTAGGTCGTTTTTACCATTTATGCATATACCCCTAAATGACATCTTGCTCATTAATATAATGGTATCACACCATAGGCAGTCTTCTGTGACTTTGTTTTTTCACTTTAAATGAAATTTGTAAGCTTCACCCACAATGATTGGCAGCTGTCGTTTATTAATTTTTATTGTTTTATAGTTTTCTTTGATGTGAATGCATTACAATTTATTTAGTCATTTCTTGGCGATAGATGTTGAGGTTGTTTGGTTTGACGAATGGGTGACGTGGGAAACTTTTTGATTCTTGTCAATTTTAAAGGAGAAATCTGGATTCCAGTATGCAAGAACTTATAGAGTGACCTTGCAAAGGAAAAGCAATATTTACCTGTCCACAACATCTGGGGGTGGAGCCAGACATTTATGTTGTAACCTGGTCTTCAAGTGATTCTGCTGTAATTAAAGTTTGAGAACCACTGAACTAGAGAGCTACACACTGGTTTCTTCTTATTTCTAAGTGTGATCAAGGGGAGAGGGAGCTGATTAAGCAGGAGACTCTGTCTGCAAAGGCAGCTTGGCTATCTTCATGATGCATTTGAACAGGTGGGGAAAGGGGAAAGAGGTAGGAAGAAAGGATAGTTTGAATGATGCCAGAAAACTGCCCTCAGGGGTAGATGTTGCCTGCCCTTTTATTTCTTCTCCCCGATAAAGAGAAGTGTAATAGAGTAGAAAGCATGTGGTCCTGGTGTCACATTTACCTGGGTTCAAATCCCACTGATGCTTCCTGGCTCTTTTGCTCTTAGGAAGTTATACAACATCTTTAAACCTCTTTAACATACCCAACATGTACAGTGGGGAAGGGTAGCTACCTTGCTTACCTGTTGCAAGGCTCAGAAAAAACAAAGGAAAGGCGGCCAACACTAAGTCCCTGGTGGGCACGGTGGACTTTCAAGGGTCGGGAAGCCCTAAAGACAATTCTGACTGCTTTTGAGGCCAAGAGTTTTACTCTCAATGCCAGCCTGTCCTTCACACATTTCCTTGCCATCAGCGGCAAGAATTTTCATTTTGTCTCTGAAATGTTGAAACCACTGAGCAGACAAGGCAGAACTGGTTTACCCAGCCAGGTGGGCTTCTGCCAGAGGGACCCCAACTTGGGAGCTCTGTCTGGAATAAACAAGCTATACCAGAAATCAAAGAACCCAACAAGGCACCATGAAAATGACAACTAGGTGGAAGCACACTGTGGTGGTGATGCTGAAAAAGCATGGGCCCCACCCACTGTGGCTTGGTTCTAGGATACCTGTGCAGGGTGAGGTGGAGGCTTCTTCCTTGTACAGAGTCCCCTCTTTCTGCCTGCTCAGCACCAGGCATCTTACCATCGCCGCCCTCCTCCCAATGACAGGGGCGCCTTAGGACTGCTGCAGCCCATCTCTTCCTCTGGCTAACCTGGCCCTAGCCCAGCTTCCTTCTCCAGCTCCCCCTGGGGAGCAAGGGGGTAGGCAGCTGGGGGTGCAGGTCAGCCTCACAGCCTGAAATCAGGACGGAAAAAGCGTGTGGGTCCAGCTCATCAGTCAGCAGGTCAGGCCTCTCGCAGTGTAATTTCTTTAACTCAGGACATTCCCCTTCATCATCTCTCTCTTCTTTACTCACATCCTGCCCCACTCACGCCATAGCCCATGCCCTGATTTCTGAGCTTACGACATGCAATCAGCCTCCAGGGTGAAAAAGGGAAAACTGTCCTTAGAGCAGGTATGATTTAGAAAAGGGGAGGGTTGTCATCGGAAAGAAGCGCGATCTTGAGGCAGCTGCCTAGTTTACAGGCGTCACTGTTCATAAAATAGGGACAAAGATTTTCTTTGGGAGGTAATGTGCCATAATTTTCCAATGTCAGAAACCTTATTCATTCAAAGCATGACGCTTTGCAGGGTTTCTCAACCTTGGCGTATGGACATTTGGGTCAAGTGAGTCTTGGCTGTGGAGAGCTGTCCTGTGCATTGTAGGGCGTGTAAAAGCATCTCTGGTCTCTACCCATTAGATGCCAGTAGAACCTCCTAGTTGTGACAACTAGGAATGTCCCCAGACTTAGCCAAATGTGCCCTGGGGGCAAAATCACCTCCAATTAAGAACCAGTGATTGAAAGCTATGTGTTCAGTCTTACAGCTGCTCAGTGTCTAGCAATCCTCCCACATTCTTTCAAATTCTGCTCATTCCACCAGGAGCACAGGTCNCCTCCCACATTCTTTCAAATTCTGCTCATTCCACGAGGAGCACAGGTTGTGTGTCCTCGAAGGCCACGAGGCAGCTGCTGGTATCTGGATGAAGCAGGTGGGTCTGCCACCTGGGAAGGAGTTTGCCCACTGTGCTCTGGGTGCTTTCACCCCTGAGAGGAAGGCACCCTTCGTCTCCAGCCACTGTGCACTTACCCACCATCTGTCATATACAGCAGTGCATCGTCCCTTTGTCTTTCCCTTCCTCCTCATTCCGCGTTCTCACTTTGCTGTTTCTTAGCCCTACTTTACAGCCACCTCCCGTGCACCTTGGATCACACCTGTCCAACCCTGTGGTGTCCCCTTCCGTGGTTCCGCTTAAGAACCGCACGTGTACATTTGCTGTGGGCCCGACCCTCGTCTCTCGCACACTCACGCCAACAGCAGGGAAGCCGCGCTGTGGACTGCATGCGGCCAGCCTGGAGCTGGGGTTTAGGAGGCAGGGAGACCCCTTCAGACTCCTCCCTCCTTCCGAAATGCTGGGGAAGGGGGTGGCCTGAGCCCTGGGTGACTGCAGTTTCTCCTCCTGCTCAGGGCTTCTGTCCCTAAGTCCACCGACTTCCTTGGTGTGGATTCAGCCCTTTAAGGTCAGGGCTGGGAACACAGGGGATCCGGGAGGAGGGGAGAGGGACTTAGCCAATTAGATGAGTGAATCACTATTTTAGCACCTCAACCTTTTCCCCTGACAGCTTCACTCCAAAGTGCTGCTTGGCCACAGGGCTGTGATGTGCAGTGGAGAAGATAGCAAAGCAGGGTCAGGGGCCTGACTACGTGGCTGGAGGCTGAGGCCTCCTGGGCTCAGAGCACCTGCCTTTCTAACTGCAGTGAAAGCCCTAGGAAATGTCCAAATGGACACAGACGATTATAAAGGAAAGGGGTGGATCAAAAAGAATTACAATTTAGTTTGCTTATTATTAGAAACATCTCATTTCAGGAGCAAAATGACTGGAGGAAGGGGCTCAGAGGGCCAGGGCTGATTCTGTGCACAACCTTTAGGTGCTGTGGCCTCTCCGTGCCTAGCAAGCATGAGGTCTGGGAGGCTGGGACGACCGTCAGTGTGCCTGAACTCTTGGGCTGAGGGATGGAACCTCTAGAGAAAGAGAAGGGCCCGGGGGACAGCAGCCCAGACGGGACTCGGAGGCTCTCCCTTCCTTGGTGAGGAGACACCTGCTGGCACAAAGCCCTGACGCGGCCGAGGGTCAGGCCAGTTCCCTGGGTGGGACCATGGGACCAGCGAAGAGGCACTTGCCGAAACCACACACTTCCTTACATTCCATAGCAAAGTAATCGTATGGGGATATAAAGAAGCATGTGGCCTCGGGAAGCAGTTTTGGCCCCGGCTTCTTCCACCACCCAGATGCAGCCTGGCGTCTCAGCTATGGGCCACTCTCACCGTCTCTCCTCCTCTAGGTGGGAAACCCGTAGACGGAAGGACCCTAGGACTTTACCTCATCCATCCTGTCATGCCCCCAGACCACCCGGCAACACACCCGTTGTGAGGAGTGGCAGTGCTTTTGGGGACCCTATTTCTCCCTTGTTGTTTATCCAGAAATAAACAGCACCCAAGTCTCACTGGCTCATTTTGGTGCAGTTGTAATCTTTGTTATTCATCAACTTAATAACTGCTGCTTTGTACATTTCAGTAGGATTCTTTTTTAATGTTTGAATTACCATGGACGGAAAACTTTTTAAAAAAAAGAAATTCAACAGAGGAATATTCTGCACATGCCTGGAGAACAGACCCCGCTTAGAAACACAGCCAAACCCTCCTGGGTTTCCTGCTGCATGTCTGCCGTGCGCGGTGAGCCCTGCAGCTGCCGGGGCAGCATTCCAAGCGCGATTGTTCATTGTGGAAAGGATTTTGTTGTTCGGTTCCTCTCCCCCTAGCCCATCACCTGCCCCACAAGCTGTGAGGCCGGAGCCACGGAAGAGTGAGGGACGCTGGCAGCTGTCAGGCCACTCAGGGTCTGGACAGGCCACCCCGGCTAAAGGGCAGTGGGGTTTTCAGCTTCATGGCATCTGATTTGCTACCAGGAAGCAGGGAGTATGACAACAGAACTGCACCCCAAAGAAGGTTTGAGGCTCACAGTACTGACAAGGGCTTAATGAAATCTAATGATAAAAGTAATAATAAGAAGAGTGATTTTTTTTCAAACTTACTCTCTATGACGGATCATTCTTGGTGCTTTGCATATATACAAGCTCCTTAAATC